TTGCCAAATGTCTAGTTGTGCAAAGACTCTTGCCTTGCCTCTGTCCTGAGACCCCACCCTGTTTTGGGAGGCCACTCTGTCCTGGCCCTGCTCACTCCCTCCCCTCTCTCTATCACTCACTCTCTCCTCAGCCCTCACTCACTTTCACCAGGTTGGGGCAGGAGGTTGGAGTGCAAGTAGGAATGTGGGGTGCAGGTTTGGGGAGGGAGCTTGGGTGTGAGAGGTGATGTGGAGTGTAGGCTCAGGGAGTAAATATGGATGTGGGCTGAGGCAGAAAATTCGAGTGCATGAGGGGTGAGAAGTAAGGCTATGTGAGGGAGTTTGGGTGCAGGCTCTAGGAAGTTGGGTTTCAGGAGGGGTAAGGAGCTTACTTTGGTGATTTCTGAAAGCAACCGGCACATGCCTCTGTCAGGGGCTCTGAAGTGCAGAATGGGGGTGAGGAAGCCTACCTTACCCCCACTGTGTGGCCAGTGGCAGGACTTTGAAATCATCTAGGCTTCTGGGCAATTTCCCCCATTATCTCCCACTCCTGTCCACTGGCCTACCCTTAAACACTCATCAACTAAAAGTATTTCAGAGACATTTCTTTACCAATAATCTATGGTTTTCCCTGTTTTGTGAAGAGGCATTTGGATACTCTAATTGAGTCATCAGATTAGTTTAACATTCTTAAGAGCCGAACACTAAGCGCTACCACATTAACATATGAGTTAGTAAATAGAACAGTAATGGTAATCAATCATGTCATTTCAACACACTCAGTAAGGGGCAGCTGTTTATGAGAATGAGCTAAAGCAAAGAAGAAATTTCTAAGATTACTAGTGGGCTTCACCCTTTGCTCGCTACGCTTGCCAACCCTCCAGCCTGGTCTCTGGTCGCTTTCGCAGCCAGAGAGTGTGAGAGCATGACGATGTCATTCTGTCACCCAGCAGAAAAAATGTTTTTTTATATTGAGAGGGACAAAGATATAAGGTATAAATGCAGTAACAGCAACAAGTTATGGTACTTCGCCTACTCAGTGCTTCCAACGGCAAACAAATTAATGTGGGTATAGTAATGGAGAGCAAACGGAGAAAGACCAATGCGGAGAAATGGGGATGGCTAATTGGGACATATGGAAAAATAAGTCCAGAGAATAACACCTTTATGGCACCAGCAAACTCTACATGGGGAAAAGTTTTATTCTGTCTGCATGAGGAAGCAAACTTTAAATCATCATTCCTGAATTAAAATCCCACTTGGTTAACTGCAACTTTTAATAAAGACAAGCACTTCTTCCTTTCTCAACGTCTTCCCTATTGTTATTGGGTAAGCAGACAATTCCGTGTGGATATATAACACTGTTAATTGAATAACAGAATCAAATAAAAAGTAAAACATCTGGATAAGACCCTCCCCATTTCTCTTCTGCTTTCCAATAGACAGCCTTTATTCAAAGGAAATATTAATAAATTTTTTATTATGTTACCTTCCAAATATGTGGATTTTTTTAAAATACAGAAATGTCTAAACTTAGGCACATAAATAAGTACTCTGACTTTCAGCAGTGCTGAGCAGCAGAAGTTTCCAACAAGTTTTGCAGGTGGTCATCTGACAATAAATCCTCCTATTTAGATGACTAAGTAATCACAAAAATGGTAGGCATCTCTGAAAAAAAATCAAACCATCAGGAGCATAAATATTGATTTAGGTCTCTCAAATTTGAAAATTTTGGCCACAATTTGGCCTAAAAGAATGTACATATTAATAGAAGCAAACCACTAAGAAACTTAAGTCTTACACAAATAAAATCACAGTGAAGACTTCAGGTCACAGCCTAGTAATGACTATAGAAACTGGTAGTGGTGTGATGTTTAGAGTTGGCAGAACTCTTCACTTTCTTTTGAAATTAAACTGAAACTTTGAAGAAGAGAAAGGGCTGATAAATGCCCTAGTGTGAGCCAACATTAAAGCCTGGCAAGAACTGTAACTCCCTACCAGAAATTCAGCTGGTTCAGAATGAAATGAGGATAAGAATCCATAGGATACAATGCCAATGGAAGACACTGTTATGTTGAATTAAGACTAGAGAGTGGAAGAGAGAGGTTTGAAGATACTCACCTGTAAAACATTGTGAATAACTGCTAAAATAAGAAAATATTTCAAAGCTAAAAGAATCAACCATACTTCTATTTTCTCCTTTTCTTCTTTGATATCTTTTTCAGTTTTCTTAAATTTACAGAAGTGATTCAGCCTGTCCAGTCTATGGTTTTCAAGGTTCTCTTCTTCGCTAGTTTCTCCCCCAGTCTGTCTACAAGATCTTTCACCAGACGGATAAAATGAATTTACTATATTGATAACTGGTAACACAGATTCCCTCTAAGTTTCTGCCATGGCTCCATTGTTGTTGTTGTTGTTTTCATTCAGATTTCAGGGCTGAGTTTCATATTAATGAGGTTCTGTTGAATGCTGTATTTGAAAAGTCATATGTATCTACTGTAGTAAGTTTGCAGAGGGAATAACACAATATTTGCTACTATCCTAGGGAAGCATTACCTGTTTGAATATAGAAGATGGAATCGCTTGATATCCTCAGGACCAGGTTTTCATGCATACATCAGTAAAATGTCTTAATACATATGAATGCTCATTAGCTTTATGTCTATTCTTTGGCCTATCCCAATATATGAATCGATTCTACAGCTCCAAGGCCTTCTGTCCACTTCAGCAGAATTGTACGGCATTTTTTATTCCTAAGTTTTTGAGATGCCTTGTCTTTAAGAGAAGAGATCCTAAGTATCCTGATTCTGGTGCAAAAACAATACAGTGTTTGGGCATACAAGACAGCAGATTAAGTTGTCTTTATGGATTGATAAGAGAGAATGTTCTGAAGCAAAAGCTGCTGTCTTTAAAATCTGGTAGAGATGTTATTTGAAAAATAGTCTTAATGATTAAGAACTTAAAAGGAGTTCCCTCAGAGAACTAGAAGATTTACCAGGTGTTGCTTGGGTCCTTAACTCACATAAGTTTTGTTTTTCTTCATTTAAATAATTTTTTCTGAGGTGGGGTTGGAGATGAGGGGTTCAGTATGCAGGCTGCACCAGGGAGAGAGGACAGCCCCATCCGTCTCTCACCGCAGCAGCTTGGGACCAGGTGAGAAGCGCCTGTCCATGGTTGCTGCAGCCACAGCGGACACAACTGGGGAAGTGGTGCATGTCCCCCAACTGTAGGACAAACAAACCTACCGACAGACACAGATACACAAACAGACAAACTCTCTGAAGTGTATAGGGGATAGCTATCCCTCCACCTTTGCCCCCTGCTGAGCCAATGGGTTTATAGCTGTCCTGGTCCCCGTCTCTGGCCCCTTGTAGTCCTCCTGTGATCTATATAACTGTCCCTCCTACCAGACTCCTCCCTTTCCATTAATTTTCCATCTCTTCATAGTAATTAATTTCTCCATTGAAATACACTCATATCTTCAGTTTTATAAACTTATTTCCTATCTTTTGAGCTTCTTGGTCAATTAGGGATTGTTATCAGACTTCAAGAATTACTTTTAATATAAGCTCAAACCTGTATGGTAAATCAGATCCACAACATATGGATGAGCTAAAGGCTTGAACACAGAAGATGGGCTTCAAAAACAGAACTCAGCGTAGAGTGGACTACTCCTATACAACAAAATCTCTTCCTTCCCCTCCCCCATTATGCAACTTCGCCAACTTTCCCTGAACTATTAAACTGAGAATCACACATTAAGAGTCAATGATAATTATATGCAAGTATAAAACAGACAGTGTAGTGCAGTATAGCTTTGGTTAACATTTGTCATTCTTTTTCATGTAACAATACTCTCACCCTTCCTGCAATTTTTAGCCTGTTAAGCATTCATCCCCAAGTCTGGCATTCAAAACACACAACAGCATAATCATCTGAAATTAAAATCACAGTACATTCTTAAAAGTATAAATTAAAAATGAAGCAATGGGATAACCTTTTGTACAGCCTTCTTAGTTTAAGTATTTGTTTGACAGGTAGAAAGGCGCAGCCTTGGCCATACGAAAGAATCAGTACCAACCATATAAAGCCTACAGCAGTGCACGCTAACAGGCTGTAGGAGACATTAACACTAGCTAAAAGTAATAACTATTTTCAAAGTACTTGTTCCTCCTGGATACTCAATTTTTTACACCAGCTGTTCCTAAATAACTTAGGTTACAGAATGGCAGCAGCTGTCATACAAAAATGGTATATTATATGCATATTATGTGTTTTAATCTATCATAGATGTTTTATACATTTGCTGTTCATTACAGATCATATCAACAGGGAAAGATGAAAAAAATCACCACTTATATTTAGGTAGAATACTGTCTACACAAATACAACTAATATGGTTTGATTAGTTCTGAAATTAAAAAAAACTTAAATAAGAAATATTTATTCTGAATACTAATTGTGAAGCTACTATTTTTTGTTTTCCCCTAAAGGTTGGTACCAGAAGTAAGGTTTAGTCATTAAAATCATAGCCTGCCACCTCTCCCGTATTGAAAAGACTTGTCATTATCATTGTTTCTGAAATATTGAGTTATAAGCTGCCATGGTAATTACTATGGAATAAATAGCAATTAAGATTGTTCACACAAATAAACTCAAACTGTTTGCAGTGAATAATTAGGCCAACAGTGTTTTTCTACATAATCTGTGCATCCTTCACAACAATTTGCCAAGAAATGTGAAATGTAAATGCACTATTATAAAAACGCTTTAAAATGTGTTCACTTTCCTATGGCTTCCTATGCTCATTTTAAGAACACACACAACTATATGCACTTACAAGGATGTAAACTTCAAGGTAAATAAATCAGGTCATGTTACAACAGAAGTAAATATTTTCTCTCTCAACAGCATCGAAAGACAGCCTACCTCATAAGCAGAATGGACATGTAGTAGTTCAGTGTTACAGAAACTGAGCACAAAAACAAATATTTCACAACTTTAAAATAAGCCAAACTTACTGCTATGTAATACACTTTGGCCTTTTCCACCAATTTCCAGTTCTTCTCCAGATCAAGATGTTTTTCCTTACTGTAACAATTGGCAGCAGCAAGATTAGCTATAAGAGATCTAAAATGACAGAAGAAACAGGTATTAGTTAGATGCATCCTTTTTCTTCTCACTAGTACCATTCTCCCCATCAGATACAAACACTCTTAAAAGAATATATCTGAGAGTGTAAATACTACTATGATGTACAACAGTTTGCATAGAACAGACAAGTAAACATTTTTAAATTGACCTTTTCCTCTACTTTTTAGAGAACTTCATTTAGCCACACTCTTGAAAATAGTTCTTAGCTAAATAAATTGAAAAGTCAAACTAATTTCGGCTGCTGCTCAAACAATTAGTACCAGTGTGAGAAAGCAGTTACATGAAGGAAGAAAGAAAAATGGTTTTTAAGAATACATTTAAACATGGGTTTTCTATTTTTGTGATGATAAAGGGAGCAAGATTGACAGATCTTAAAAGTGCAGTTCTCTATTTATCCACAGAACATAGGGCAGGAGTAGGGCAAACTTCCTAATACTCCCTTACGCTATATAAACCATGATCGGGTGGAATCACTTTGAGAGAGAAACTCATTTCCAGGCCTACTTAGTCATTAGCCCATCTGCAGATACTTCCAGTTATCATTAGCTATGATTGTAGATTTGTGGGTATGCCTAAACTGCAATGTAAGCCTGTGTTTGAGTCTGGGCTTCAAGCTAATCCCCATTGTCTCTACACTGCAATTGTGCTAACCTGGGGCTTGATTCAAGGGACCCAAAACCCTGCAGGATTGAAGGGTCCAAGCTCACAGGACTCAGAGACCAAGCCCTATTTCTTAGCAGAGTAGAGGTCCCAGAAGTTATCCAGAGCTATCTTACAATTCTATGGAGGAGAACTTCCTTAGTGCTGTCTCTCCCAACAACATGCAATCCATTTGACTGAAAATGGAAGACATATCCCTTTTGCAAACTGCAGTAACCAATTTTTTTCTCATCACCAATCTGTCAGCACACTATCCAAGAACCTCCTGGCTTGATTGGCTCAATCTCCGTAGCCAAGTCTTTTGCAAAGCAAGCTGCTTCTTAGTAATGTGCAGGGCGGGAAATAAAGTTTTCCCAAAGTCAACTACAGGTCCTAAAGCTACAACAGCCACATTTTGAGGGGAGGGGAAGCGCCGAATACTCTGGGACACAGTTACTTTGACTCAAGTCTGCACACTAAAGTGCAGAGCCTCAGGTTTGAGCATGGGTCAGAAAATTCTTAATCTAGGATTAAATTACAAAATAGACACTATCTACACAAGTCAGTTGACTGAAGTCCCACTAAGCATGGTCTTATATTGCTGTGCAGATAAAGCCTGTGAGACAGTCAGATGGACAAACCGATTGCTAGGCACATAACAGAAAGCCAATTAATTTATTCAGGAGGTAGTCAACTCTCCTCCAGTAGATGAAAGGCTCTGGATCTCATTACCAATCCACTCCTTATTGAAGACTATCATTTTCCTGTAATCTAAGTATTTGTAACTTCTTCATCATACCTACTTGAACTCCAGTGTTCATTAAAAGCAATTTTCCATTCAGCAACATGCAGGTTATTGTTTGGCACTAGGGATGTAAAGGGATAACCAGTTAACTGGTTACCAGTATGCTCACCGATAACTGGTTATCCAGTGGCCCAACCAGGCTAGAGCACCTTCCTGTCCACAGCATGGAGCAGCGGGCCCATCCGGATGATCACTCCCGTAGCATAGTAAGCCCAGCCCAAGCAGCTCCACCCACGGCCCAGCAGAGCAGCCCTCTGCCTGCAGCATGGTGAGGCTGGCCTGAGTAGCATCCATGGTGCAGTGGGCTGCTGTTACAGCCCAGCTGGGGCTACCAAGACATGGGTGGGGGGCTGCCAGTCAACCAGTTAAACATAGTGTTTAAATAGTTAACTTTTTAAATGACAGTTTACATCCCTATTTGCACTTGTTCTGTCAGGGTCAGACAGCCTACTTTGCTAAAATATCACACTGAAATTCAATGCTAAGAAAATTTCTGTTTGTAAGCTCAATTACTCTATTCAGCAAAGTCACTGAAGCTAACTAATGGCAGCTGAATGAAAATTCAATGTGTTTAGTATTTAGACTACATAAAATGCCTGTAAGTTGCTGCATGCATTAATCTCATGTATAAATTTCTCTTTCACATGCTAAAAGATAATATTTAAGTTTTTACTTTATAACCATGAAAAATGTTTTCTCTGAAACTGTAAACCTAGTCAGGAGGGATCGTCCATTGCTCATCAGGAAATCCTATCAAAACTAAATGAGCCTTTGAGTGACACCACAAATTTTTTAAAATTGTCCCTCCATACTGATGAAGAAACTATGTGCAAAAGGGTCAACCGCCCATTCAAATTCTGGAAGAAGAAAAAAAAATAGATGACAAGAAATTGTTTTTTGCTCTTTTGCTATTTAGATTGTCACATGACTGAAGCTACCAAACACAAGAAGGGATCCCTAGAGTCAACCTGCGTTAGCCATAAAAGACATTCAGAGCTGCCATTACTACAGCTCTGTCATCATTTAAAACTATTCACTGTAACTCATTTGTATATACATGTGTGCCTATTTTAACCTATGTAATTCATTTCTTTTGCCTAATTTATAAATATTTAGTTAGCTTATTATAGGATTGTCTAAAAGCATTATCTCTAGTGAGAGGTCAAATTCATCTTGGGTAAGTAACTGGTCTCTTGGGACTGGAAGAAAACTGAATCTTTTGTGATCTTTGGTGTATAGCAATCATCAAGGCCAGCTTGCCAAGGGGACTATCTTTGATGCCATGGTATGACTATTATAATGCTTAAGAAGTCCACATTTGTTACTGAATTTGTGAAACCCAATTATAGAATATATAACAGTTTGGGGGTCTCTGCCCCACTTCTTGACAGACTGCACTGAGGCTGGCACTCATGGTCAGGAGCGGGACAGACATCTCAAGTCTTAGCAAAAATAATCAAGTGTCAACAATAGTAAAGAGGAAACCTTTTTGTGAAGAGGAAAAAAAAGACTGTAGCTCATTCTAAGCATGTTCTATCTTCATTCTCTTCCTCAAACTCTTGATATTTTTTGGTTACACTGCAATAGCATCCAAAAAAATATACTGAGAGTTCTGGACTGATTAACTGGTATCTTGCCTCTTTAACTGTATTCATTACATTAATATTTTTGTCCACTCATAGTAAAATTCCAAACAATTTTCATCTACAATTAACAGTTGAACTTTGAGATTAACCGCTGCATCCTAAGGATTTCCTAAATGATCCTTTGTCTAGAACAAAGGATTTTAAGTATCAGTAACAAGATACAGTACTATAGATTAATAATGCTATCTAATGCCCTTCCATCATCATGCATCTTAAATACTCAGAACATGAAGCAAAAATAGAAGAGCCAGCTTGTCTCTACTCCAGTGTTCCCTTAAGCTGGGCGGCAGCTCAGGTTCACAGGTGATTAATCAGCACCGCCCCTGTCAGTCAGCTCCATGCATGAAGCCCTGAGCCTCTGACTGGGAGGCGCTGATTAATCACCTGTGAAGCTGTGCTGCGCGGCTTAGAGGGAACCCTGCTCTACTCCCCAAACACTGCTAAGACTGCGCCTTTATTGTATAGATTACATTTCTAAAGGTCTAATACTGCTAACATATTCTAAACCAGTGGTCTCCAACCTTTTTAACAACAAGTTCACTTTTTCAATTTAAGGACAATGTAAGATCTACTTGAAACCCAAATACCCTTGCCCCACTTCCTTCCTGCCCCTTCTTTGAGGCCCTGCCTCTGCTCCACCCCTTCTCTGAGGCCTCACCTGCTCACTCCATCCTCCTTGCTCCCCCATCCTCACTTTCACCAGCCTGGGGTAGGGGTTGGGGTGCAGGCTCATAAAAGCCCATAGCTTTTACTGGCCACGGTTCCCCATTATTGATGAATGAGAGCTGCAGGAGTGTTGTCTGCAGGCAAGGACAGCATGTGGAGACCCCTGCTCTGCCTTTCTCAGGGGCTTCAGGGACATGCCAGCTACATCCAGGAGCAGCAATTTCCCACAGGGATAATTACTCCAGCCACGCCAGGTTAGGATTTTAGTCATCACTACTCAATTAAGCTCAAGAGAGAAATGAAAATTATGAAATGCAGACCAGTCAAAAACCAAAAATAACCCACTTTGCAAACAGTAAAAGAAGTAACAACAATCCCCCACATATGTGTTGGGTCAGAGGAGATGAATGAAGGACAGCGTCTGTGTGTGAGAGAATTACAGAGACACACGCTGTGTGAGAGAGTGACAGAGATTTGCATTGTCAAGCTCCCTCCATTCCCTTTGCTCTGTGTGGATAGGGTTACAGGAGTGGGAGGGAGGAGACACACCCTGGCATCAGCACCTCCCCTTTTCTCCCTCCCACACCCTACACAGCAAGCAGGAGGCTCCCAAGGGGGAAGTTCCGGGGGAGAGGGCAGGAGCAGCATGGCATTGGGTGGAGGGGCAAATGAAGTACCAGTGCTTGAGAGCTTCCTGGCCAAACCAGTCAGGATCCTGTCAGAGGCTCCAAAATCTACTGGTAGATCCTGATCTACTGGTTGGTGACCACTGTGTTAAACCAAAAGGTAGACTTCCTATTATATCTGTGCTCAGATCCTTCA